AGCCTGACCTAAATTACGGTGGCCCAGAGGGCACACGCAATTTCATTTTCAACCTCAGTGGTGCAACAAGCGGAGCAGGTAACAGTGTTCTGAAAAGCATCACGGCCAGGCAGCAAAGGCAACATGGGAAGTCAAGAATCAGAAAACATGACCTTTTATAAGCTTACCATTGTGTCACCAAATATGTAGAAGTCCTAATCTCTGGACATAGCGATAGCATGCAAAACTAGGTAAACTATTTTGAAGTGCAAATATTTTTCTGTCTTTAAAGTTGTCATTACAAATGAGAATTAGTCCAGAGTGTAAAGTCTTTGCTGAACATTGACAACTAGAATCTAGAAGATGCTGGTAAGACAAGTGGAGCTGTGGCCTGAGAGCAGTGGAGGAAACCTGGAGGAGAGAATCAAAGGTAAGCAATTTAAGACACATGTTAAGATTATTATCTTGAAAGAACTGCCAAATCTGATGTTAAGGTCTGGCCAATGGTCATAAATGAACTGAATGTTTACATGTGACTGCAAAGTCCCTCTTGTGACTTGCAGAATGCCTGTTGTCCGATAAATGGTAAATAGCTTAGTTAGACGGACCTGTTAGAATAGTTTTAACTCATTCATTGCCAGCATGTAGCCTAGCAATAGAAAAAATACAGATTTTCTGATAAACAGTCTATTTTATAAAATAAATATCCTAAATGAATATTTGAAAGGAAAGTTAAATTATTACATTTTATATAGGCTTATTTCCTTTTCAGGCTAATTTGAATGTTATTGAATTTGTAAGCAGTTTTGTTTCAGATTTTTCTAGTTAATTAATTGAATCTGAATAAAAAAAAAATACTTGACTTGAAAGGATTCAGATATTAAGATGTTTCAAATCTTAATAGAATCATTGCCAAAAGATTTTTCAAAGTAAAATCATTGTCCCTAACTATTTAGGAGCAGTGATAGCCATGCCAGTCCAGGGACTGACTGCAGTTCTACTGAAAGGTGCCTTGGTGAAGGTCAATGACCGGCGTACCTGACATGTAACAAAGATACCATGCATTTTGCTTTAGGTTAATAGACTACATTAATTAGGCTATGGATGCTTCCAAAGAAAAAAGTTCCACCATCCCCCTTCTTTTTTTTTTTTTTACAACTCGACTACTGTACTCATCTATACATGTCTATAAATCCAAATTAAGCTAACCCATTACATAGATTACAGACATGTCTTGAAAACATAAAAACCTGGATGACTCCTAACTTTCTGCTCCTGAATGCAGACAAAACAGAAGTTATAGTCTTTGGACCAAGGTCTTTGAAAAAGAAGCTGATTAGTCAGTCACTTCATTTGGATGGGATTAAGCTGATTTAAAAAAATAATATAAAAAATATTGGTGTTATTTTTTATCAGGAACTATCATTTAAATCCCATGTCAATGAGGTTTCTAGAATTTTCTTCTTTCATCTGCGGGCCCTGTCCAGAAGTGATGCTGAGAAACTATGCTGCAGCATTTTGGATCAGCTGAAGGCTTTTAACTACGGTCTTCCCGTTTGGCTGTGACACAATCCTGGAGAGAAATATCAGGTGTGCTGCTACCATCAACACCTTTGTTTATAAATGTTCGAGATCAGCCTGTTTTTCTGTGTAGCCCTGATTCTCTGACTGTAACTGGCTGGATATGCTCTCTTCATCCTTCTGACACAGTAGATGGCTCAGAGCTTGTCTGCCTGGCTGTCTGTTTCCTGGACCTGGCTGCTTGTGGAGCTGATTTAAAGTTGCCTTTTGTATCTCTGCCCTCTTTCTGTATATCTGCTTTTGTCTCATTGAACCCCAGTTGGCCTAGGCAGATGGCCGCTCACTCTGGTTCTGCTGGAGGTTTCTTCTTGTTAAAAGGGAGTTTTTTACTCTCCACCCTTGCTACAAGCATGCTTAGTGTGAGGGATTGCCTTCAAGTCAATGAGTCGATGCAATCAACTGGTTTTCCTTAGATAGAAATCTTTGAATCTATTTGACTGTATGATTTGGTGAACTGTAAAGTGCCTTGAGATGACATGTGTTATGAATTGGCACTATATAAATAAACTGAATTGAACTAAGAAAGTTGTTTATTTATAGGATATAATTATTTTATTGGTAAGAAAAAAATTTTTATTTTAGAGCACTGTAAGCAAAAGCATTCTTCTAAGAATCCTAATAAAGTGCCACAGCAAAAGAATATGAAACCTTAACTGTAGCATACTAAGAGTGAATATTTTTTCCTTGGAGAGATTTTGACCTTCATGTTTAACCCAGACTGTCAGCTACCACAAAGCTGGATGTATTCTTAGCGAGGCTAGTTACCATTGTAATGTAATCTGAATGGCAAACCTACTCTGGCAGGCTAGCTTTAAGGAACCTAATCTGAAACCTAGAAAATTTTCCACCCAACAGCCAATCAGCTGTTCAAGAAAAAAAGGACCTTCCCTTTGACTGAAGACCAGATTTAATTCAGAGGGAAAAATAACTTAAACAAAACAACATCACAATAAAGTAACTTGAAAACCAGAAAGCTGTTAAAACAAAACATGTTATTGATAAATTGCACAGTGTTCAATTTATCCATTTCTTTATATGCATCCTCCTTTCTGATACACCGACCTTTTACTCTTCTGTATTTGTCTTTTGACCTTTAATATCCTCATACATGGCAGTCACTTATTTTCTTGTATAATTGTGCACAGTACCTTTGCTGTTCCTAGAACTTCACTTTTCTGGACCAAGATTTCTAATGTGTTTCCAGGGATCTGCTGTAATCACTCCTCAAGTTTGGAAGTCTTTGCCCTGAGCGCTCCAATCATGCCTCGACCTTCCAGGTTTTCTCCAGCTCTTCTCTGAGCCACTGGTATTTCTCTAGGTTCTCCTGTTTCTTTTTCCTGATGTTGCAGTCACTTGGTGTTGCTGTGTCAGCCACAACGCCTTTCCTCTGCTTTTTATCCACCACCACAATATCAGGTTGGTTTGCCATTACCATTCAGTCCATCTGTATCTGGAAGTCCCACAGGATCTTGGCTCGGTCATTCTCTACCATCTTTGGAGGTGTTTCCCCCTTTGACCTTAGGAGTTTTTGT